GAAGGGCCTTGAATTTGAAATGCTACAGTTTGTTGAAAGAATGATGATTTATGCTGACATAATGAGGACACGGTTTTGAGACAAAGGGCAGAACTGAGATTCCATCTCTTGGTTTTATACAGAGACGAATGAGACTTTGCTTCTACTCACAACAGATAGCTACAATGCAAAGTAGAAAATGTCATTTTTTTTTAACCAGTCCTGTGATTTCACCAGCATTAGAAGCTCCTGAGAAGAACTCCCTCTAACAAAGATTTTCTTTGTAATTAATAGTCTTAGAGACTTGCTTGGGCCATTGAAAGGTCACACAGTATGTGTTAAAGACACAACTTGCATCCAAGTCTTCTTGACTCCAAAGTCTATTCTCCACTATACCACTCAATCTTAATCCTGAATTTTAGTGCCTTCCCTCTGAGACGACCCCCAATTGATCCTGTTTATATCATATCTTGTTCATAAGCAGTTGTTTGCATGGTATCTCCCCTGACTAAACTGTTAGCTCCTTGAAGAGCAAGGCACCTCCAGTGCTTAGCACATTGCCTGGCCCATTATAGGCATTTAATCAATGCTAGCTGACTTGACTTGATGCCACCTTTCACAAGTGTGCCAAAACATTCAAAGTGCCATCATGCCCAAGTCTTCTCATCCTTAAAAAAAAAAACCTCTTGACCTGACATCTCCTCATTCTACAATCCTTGATCTCTCCTACCTTTCTTAAATTCCTAGAAACACATCTACACACATTCTCTCTACTTCCTTTTCCATTACTTGATACACCTTTAAGTTTTGCTTTCAATTTCATAATTAAATTGAACCTGCTCTGTCTAAGGCTTCCACTAATATCTTAATGGTGATTTTAGACAACTCCAATTTTTAGAAATGTTTATAGTGTGCCCCAGTTTGGTTGGTTTTTTTTGGCTGGGCAACGGGGTTAAGTGACTTGCCCAGTGTCACACAGCTAGTAAGTGTTATGTGTCTGAGGCCGGATTTGAACTCAGGTCCTCCTGAATCCAGGGCCAGTGCTCTATCCGCTGTGCCACCTAGCTCCCCACCCCAATTTTTTTTTTATCTAGGCCTCAAGGTCAGGTAGAACCAGGTCTAATGCCACCTCCATGCACCAGCCTTCACTATCATATTTCATTTTTGTCATCCTCCTCACCCAAAGTTTTCTCTCCTTGAGATAAAGATAGTGGTTGAAGTCACTGTATTAAATGACACAGCCAAGGGAGAAAAGGTTGAGAGCCAAGGATAGAACCATTGGACCATCAAGGGTCCTGATCAAGGGACCAGGAAGAAGACAAGGGGTCCATAGGGAGGTAGAGGGAGAATGAGGAAAATACAGAAGCCAAGAGAAGAGAAGCACTGAAGAAAAGAAGTGTGGCCACCAGTGACAGAAGCTGCAAAGAGAGGACATGGAACGTGAGAAAAGGCCTTTGGATTTGGCAATAAAAAAGGCACTCGTGATTCTTATGGAAGCCATTTCAGTATAGCAGTAGGAATAAAATTAGGTTGAAAGGCATCAAAGAACGAAGGACTGATGAGAAAGTTGAAGGATATTTACTGTGAACTATTTTTTCAATGGTGAAAAGGAGATGAGAAATTGACTTAATGGAGAAGAAGGATCAGAGGAAAGCTTTTTTAGAATTGGAGGAAACTGAGCGTGTTTGTAAGGAGGTGGGAAGAAGCCAGGGGAGACAATGATCAATAAGACAAGGTCACTGGAGTGGGAGTCAGGAAGACCCAAGGTTCAAATCCTACCTCAGACGCATAGTAATTGTGTGACCCTGGGCAAGTTATTTAACCTCTCTGGGCCTCAGATTCTTCATCTATGAAATAAAGAGTTGGATTTGATGCCTTCTGAAGACTCTTTCAGCTCTAAATCTCTGAGCCTATGAGGTGGGAAAAAACACGAGCATGATACAGGCAGGAACACTCCCTTAGACAGGGATACCTCATCTAACACCGAAGGAAAATAGACAATGAGGTGTGGCAGGAGGGGAGTCAAAGGAGCTCCCTATAGGGTGGCTTCAATTTCATTTTGTTCATATTGTCTTATTTTTATTGATGCCTTTTGTTTTTATATCATGTTACTTTCTGAATATATCCCTATTCTTCAAAGCCCAGAGTGCTTTGATCTTTTCAGCAAAGTAGGACTTCTTTCTCTAGCTGCTGATTGATTTCTTTGTAAAGTAAAACCTTTAGTCTTTTGGCTATGAATAAAACATGTATTTAGCCTGTGTCAGAGCAGAATAACAGCTTCCCCCTTATGGAAGGCTCTCTTTCCCGGATAATAACAATAACAATAATAAAGCATTTATATAGCACTTTAAGGCTGTGAAATACTTTTACTATATTAAATCTTTTGATAGTTATTCATACAGAGCTTTACTTTTACATAACTTTGTTTTTTTTCTTTATACACATTACTTATCTGATCTTTGGATCTTCCTTTGGCCCTTCACTTTTTTATTCTGACAGGCAAATATTTTGTTTGTTCTCACCAAAGCAGCCAACAGTCCATCAAAAGCTCCTGCTTCAAAGCAGCATCACTAGCCCATGGGGTTGTGGGCCCTGACTTCCCACAACCCTGTGTAAGTCAATGAACAAAGCTAATGTTTGCAAAGATCTCATCCTAATGGAACCCATTCTACAGATGTCTATAACTAGCAAAATGATGGAGTGATGGGCATGTAACATCCCCCTTCCCATAACAAACACACACACACATTATAAGTAGAGGACACTATGGGGAAGAGCTACACTCAACAGCACAGCTCACTCACCCCCACCAAAGCATGTGTTTTTCACCTGGCCAACCAAAGCATTCATTAATTCAGATCAAAGGAAGTTTATTCAAACAGCATTGCAAAATACGAAACAAGAAATTATTCCCCCTACCCCTTCCCATACACATGCCATGGGTAATCACACCACCAGTGGAGGGCCACAAGCAAGGAATGTGTGCTAAGAATACATAAGAAGGGATATAAATAGGGAACATGTGTAACCAGGAAACACATATCATCGGGGTAACTCATGCTCCCAAAGCTCCAACGCCACCAGTGTCTTCTGGTGACATTGCCCAGCTCTTCTCTTACAGGCATTTCCAATATGCCGCTGCTTCTACTGAATTCTGCTGTCATCTTCCTGTCTTCCACTGGAAAGTAGCTTCTTCCTCAAAAAGGACCTTTCCTCAGCTGCTGTTGCTAGGATTCTTCAAACCTTTACCTAAGTTATGGTCTGGAATTCCTTTGAACTCCCATCATACCAGGGTCACTAGCTTGAGGCCTTCAAGGGACTCAGTAAAAATGCAAAGAAGTTATGTGGAGCTAGGGGTGGGAGATGTTTCTCATCTTCTATAATGGCCCTAGATGCAAAGCAAATCAACTTGGCAACAAGACGGAAAAGGGTTGAATACAAGTGGTGACTTATCCTCCAAACAAAATCACTACACATCTTAAAGAAATTGAAACAAGTCCCTGGCCTCTCCCACTCTCACTCCCATCTTGAAAGAGAGGAAAATGACTACAGGGAAGACTCCACTTTATTCTGTATATATCTTGTTTGCACATAGTTGCTTGCATGCTGTCTCCCCCATTAGACCATGAGCTTCCTGACAGCAAGGATAGGATTGGATTTTTTGTTTTCTTGGACTTTCTTTGTATCCCCAGGGCTTAGCATATTGCCTGGCTCATAGCAGAGATGTAACAGATACTTGTTGATTTGGCTATTGAATGCAGAAAAAAAATAGAGAGGGGGGAATAATGAGGAAAGGAAATTTTCTCCTTTAATTTTTAATTTCTTAATCCTTTTCCCAACCAGGTCAGTTAATCTGCCAGTAAGCATTTATTGAACCCTTACTATGTTTCCAGCACTGAGCCAATCACTGAAGACACCAAGGAAAGCAAAGATGCCTTCATTCAACTTCATCTACACTATCTCCCTGGCTTTTTCATCATAATTCAAGGGAAGAGGCTGTAGGCAACACTGTAAGTTGAAGAAAAGGTGCCAACCTGAATTGGTAAAGGAAGGTCCCTCAACTGGAAGTTCCCTAAATCAATGAAATCATCCTTACCATCTACCTCATGAGGTTTCATGAAAGGAAAGCACTTCACAAAATTTAAAGGACCAATAAATAAGATTTACCATTATCACTGATATATCCTCAAGCACTAGCATTCAAGATAACACAGCACTTTATGATACAATTTTATTATTTTTCTATTTTGTCCAATTACTAGCATTGTAACATTATTTCCTATTGTTTTTCATTCAAATTTATAGTATTTTAGCAACAGTAGGTTAGCTATATTATAATCACTTATGACATTTCTGGGCAAAAAGCATTGAGTTCCTAACCACAGATATCCAAATGAGCTTTCCAAATAGAGCCTGCTCTAAAGTTGGGGAGTGTCTGTATCTCATTCATTTGCTATAATGGTGTGAGGTATGGTGCAGCCAGCTTAACAAATCCATCAGTAAACATTTGGGGACACATAGGAGCTTTAGGCACTTTTTCCACAACACAATGCTGAAAGAACATCAGATTTGAGATGTGAGGATCTAGGTCCACAGCCCAGCTCTATCACTTTTTACCTATGTGAACTTAAGTATGACACTTAGCTACTCTGAGCCTCAGTTTCCTCCTCTGTAAAATAGGGATAATACCTGCCTATCACCCATTGTTGCTGTGAGGCTAAAATGAGATTACCAAGGTATAAAGCACCCAAAACACTATATAAATGTAAGAGATTATGGTCGCTGCCTTCAAAAAGCTAACATGTAGTTGGACGACAAAACAAAGCTATTTGAAACGATTAGAGAATTCAGTGTCCTCAGTGATAAATGGAGGGAACTGGACCTCCAACTCTTAGAGATCCTTTCAGTACCTTAGGATGATCAAAGGACCATCAGAGGTGACTTCTTCCCCCTTACACACACACACACACACACACACACACACACACACACACACACACGGAAAAGAAAATACCAACCTCTATTGTTTCAGCTCAAGACTGCAGTATTGTTTATTCATCATGTTATTTCATTAAATAGTCCCCTGAAAAGCCTAACCAAGAATCACAAAACTACTGCAGTAGGGTTTGAATGTCCTATTTGTTCCAGAACTTACAGTCAGCCGCACCAGGTTACATCCCAGGAACTGGGCTTCACAAGTACATCTCAGCTCTCTCCACCAGGAAATTTTCCAGAGGCCCCACAGCACTGGACATTCTTCAAAGCCCATTCTTGAATTTACAAAAATTGCTTATCCACTCCACTTATAAAATTCCATCACTAGTTACCTCATTTTACAATCCCATGAGTCCACATGATGCCACACAGTGGAAAGAACACTGGGCTTGGAGTCAGAAGACCTGGGTTTGAATCCTGACTCTGCCACTTACTAGCCATGCAAGTCACTTACCCAGTGCCTCAGTTTCTTCCTCTATAAAATACAGATGTTAATATTTACAGGACTTACTTCAGAAGGCTGTTGAGGGGCAAATGGATAAGGAATGAGAGACACTCTATAAGTGAATCATTATGATGCTACTAATTCTTGAGGTCACCAAAATCGCAGGCCCACTCCTAATGGCTTCAGTTGAGATTCCACTCACTTGCAGAACCCAGACATGCCAAAATCGTGGAAATTGATTGATCCAAAAAAAGCCAAATGACATAGAACAGGAGTGGGATCACTGTGTCCTGATTCCCTAAGTGTCCTAACAAGCACCTGCATGATTTTTTTTTTTGTAATTTGTTCCTTGAACCAAGTCTTTTGGAACAAGTCTCAAGATTATTGCATAGATACAGATTTATGCCTATTCTTTTAAAATCCTAATAAAATGTTTTATGAGCTTGACAGTAGGTCTGACCCACAGGCCTGAATCATCTCATCTCCACCTTCCACCATCAAGGTGGTACATATATGCCTGTTGGGAGTTTTGAAATTTGAGAACCAAGGTTATGAAACGCCTTCCTTCCCCTGGGATTGCTCATAAGCCTCCTTTCTTTTCTCCACAATGAAGGGTTGATGCAATGATTCCTAAATCCATCATCCTCAGTCTTATTCACTACAGAGCCCTCTACAACCTGCGCGCCCCACCCACCCCTGATCCCAGTCTCTTACACCCTGCATGTTTCCCTGCCTGTCAACACACTCTGGCATCCAGTGACACAGCTGTCCCCCACACCTGGGATGTTTTCCCATCTCATCTCCGCCTCCTGGCTTCCCTGTCTTTCTGCTGAAATCCCACCTTCTGTAGGTATTCTTTCTGGATCCCTCTAGTGCCTTCCCTCTGCTGATTCTTTCCTATTTGGTTTCTACACAGCTCGTTTGTACATAGCTGTTTGCACATTATCTCCCCTACTCAACTGTGAGCTCCTTGAGAACAGGGACTGTCTTTTACTTTTCTTTGTATCCCCAGCACTTAGCAGTGCCTGGAACACTTAATAAATGTTGACTGACTGACTGATTCAAATACGGGAACAGCACAGGACGATCAGGAATGACTCCTGAGAACAGCACATGCTTCAATCAGTTCTAAAGCCAGAAGAAAGCTCAGAAATCATCTAGTCCAAAGGTGTCAAACAATGAAGAGTACAGCTTGAATCACATTAAAACATCACTGGGAAGTATATCACAAAATAAATATTAAGTGTAATAGCACATGATGCTATTTTCTCAGTCAACATGTAGCCCACAGGGACTCTTGTGTATGGCTTAGCAGCCCCCATTTCTATTTGAGTTTGATACCTCTGGTCTAGTCGGCCTTCCTCAGAGAACTGAAGCTCAGAAAGGAGCTACCCACTCTTGGTCCCACAGCTGGGACCAGAATCCAAGACTTGAAGTCAGTGCTCATTCTGTTCATCAACCTGCCTTTTGGGTTGGCTCAAGGCCTGGGCTCACACCTTCAAGGTGCTCTGGGAGGTTTTTCCTCTTGTCCATAGCAGATTTCTGAGCCCATAGTCAATCTAACCAGATTGAAGGCCCGAATCAAAGAACATCTCCATGCCATGGAGAGGCTTTGGAGGATGACAGTTCCGTCCCTTGAAGATCATGGCAATGGCAAAATTAAGTAAAAGGAAAAACACCTCCTTCATTAACTTGTTTACCCAATCCTCAGCAAGTTTACATAGCCCAGCTCTAGCACTAGACTGACTGAGGAGGGTTTATCTACCCCTCAGATTGCTTTCTCATCTACCCTTCTCATGGAACTGGCTTAAAGACTACTGTGAGAAGAGATAGAAATAGAGATCATGTAGGTTAAGTAGTTTTATTCACATATAAATTTAAACATATGTTAACCTGTAACCTGTGCAGCTGTTACTTGGGAGTGTCTTATTATCTCTGCTGAATCCTTTCTACCACCAACAGACGTCCATACCAAGTGCTAGTGAAGATAAGGCATCGGGTGGACAGCTAGCAAGAAAGATGCAAAATCTCTGCTCCGAAAAACATTCACGCATTGGCATGGAAGGCATGTTAATTCTGAGTTTGGGACAGGATATTGTGCCTGGACCACCTATGATTTCATTGGTATAAAGTACTCTCAGATAAGGAAGCTCCCTCTACCAAGGCCCACCAGCACTTTCTCTGTATCACAGCCTTAGAGAATTGCCCATGGCACTAAGGGGTTATGTGACTTTTCTCAGGGTCACACAGTCAGTATATGTCAGAGGTGATACAAGAAACCAGATCTTCTCAGCTCCAAGGCCAATATATAATCCACTACACTGTGCTTCCTCTAAATCATATGTTTAATAAGTTACAAATGGTTGCAAGTTTAACTCAGATAATCTAACCCATCTCAAGGAAAAATAGTACACATCTTTTTCCATGTGCAACATCAAACATTAGGAAGATGGGCTAAATTGTCATGGAAACCCCACTCAACCCTCTAATTCTATGATTAAAGTGCAAAGTGAACCACGCTCCAAATGTACACCTGGGCCTAAAAAAACAATACATGCAAATTCTTTAGCAAAGTGAGAGAATACAGTATGCAGAGACTGATCCTTACAGGACCTAGTCGCATAAAAGGACAAGACAAACTATCTTGGAGGTTGCCCTTTACAAGGCTAGTCACATAAGGAAGAACAAGAATATTAGCACAAACCACATTTGCAGACATCAACCTAAAGGTAAGAAGTCTAACTGGAAGAATAGGGACACCTAACAAAATTATATTTCTTCTTCTGATTCTTGGTCTCGTTCAGCGTTTTTCAGCAATCTCATGTCAGGAGGAAAGTTCTTCTTAATTTTTGACCTAATCAACCTGAGAAGAAAGAATAGTTTGTCATTAGACATAGTTAAATAGGTTTGAATTGGAGGCATTGTAAATCAAATCAAGGGAAATAATTAATTATACAGTAAAATATTAACTTTGCAAATTGAAAGGGCAATCCAGAACAGCAGACAGCTGAACAATCACTTTCATGATGCTACCTCCTCCTTTGTGAGAGCTTTTCTTTTCTGGCCTCCCTGGTCATGATTCACTGCCTACCTCTCTAACCTAATTCTGGGTCTCCCTTACTTACTCTTCCTTCTCCTTCCCCTCCCTTAAAGCAGTCTGTTACAGATTCCTCTCCACACTGTCTCCCCAGGTGATCAAATCGACTCCCATGACTTCAATTATGACTTCTCTACAAATGCCTAACCTGGCTTTTCTGGGTAGGAGCTGTTCTCTGAACCACTTCCACCCCTTCCCTTTCCTAGTCTCTTGACTATGTTGGTTTCTTCTGCAGCTTGGCATCTGAGGTGGGTCTTTGAGGGCGGGGAGGTTGATTGGATTTTTGAAAATGAATGAGGTGAAGGAAATAGGAGGTACCTTTACCCGGAGGCAGAACAAAACCATGAATAATTCAGCTGGTTTTACTCCTTGCCCAGCTCTGATACAAACTACTCTAGTCAGATATTTTCCTCATAGAGAGTCACTGCCATATGAATCCAAGGAAACATTTGGTTGTGTTATTTGTGGAAGGGAATGGGCTGTTACCAGGTCAACAGAGTACCTTTGCTGTGGAATAACTACAGAGATATAAAGTCCAGTAGAGCTAGAAAAGACTTTTGGAATCATTATGTCCAGCCTCCTCCTAACTACATATGAAGAAAACGAGGCCCAGAGGCACAAAGTGGTGACCCAGATATAACCTGGTGCTCCCAAGGTCATACAGTAATTGTGGAAGATGGGAGATCCCATCAGTGGGAGATCTGGGTCACAAATTAAGTTTTTCTGACTCCCCATAAAGTACTTTTTTCCACCTGACCATACTGTCTTCCTTTGTATACAAGTAGCTTTGTGTAGCTTTGTTAGAATCCTTGTAATTGGCTTTTATTGACATCTATAGTAGCAATAGTTTATTTCACAAATTAATAGCACAATATACATATTAGCTTGAATAAAATAAGGCCAACAGCAGCATTTTTATTTGCGTAATTTTTCAATTCAATTTAATAAACATTTATTAAGTGCTTACTATGTGCCAGGAAGACAGCTAGGTGATGCAGTGGATAGAGGGCCTGGCCTAGAATTCAAATCCAGCTTCAGATACTTACTAGCTGGGTGACCTGGGGCAAGTCACTTAACTCTGTTTGCCTCAGTTTCCTCATCCGTATAATAAGCTGCAGAAGGAAATGGCAAACAACTCCAAAATCTTTGCCAAGAAAACTCCAAACGGGGTCCCAAAGGTAGGACATGATTGAACAACAACAAAAACATGCTAGGCACTATGCTAATGTGTTAAGTAGAAATTAATCTCACTCAGTATAAAGTTCTCTAATTCTCCAAGACCACATGTCTACAAGCAAATCGTTTGCCAGGAGTAGGTAACCTGCAGTCTCAAGGCCACCCATGGCCCTCTAGGTCCTCAAGTGTTGCCCTTTGACTGAATCCAAACTTTACAGAATAAATCCCCTTAATAAAAGGATCCCTTTAATAAAAAGATTTGTTCTATGAAGTTTGGATTCAATCAAAGGGCCACATTTGAGGGGTCACATGTAGCCCTGAGGCCACAGGTTCCCCACCCCTAAACCTCTTCGAGCCTCAATTCTCCCATCATTAAAAATTATTTGTATTGATTCATAGGAATGTGTGAGGACCAAACAAAACCATGCACCAGAGAGTTTTCAGACCCTAAAACACCATATAAAGGAGTTATTATTATCATTGCTAACCAGCAGCAAAGGCTGCATTGCTTGGGGAAGGGGAGTGGCTAAACAAATTGTGATGTGTAGACATAATGGAATATAACTGTGCTATAAGAAGTAACTAATATGAAGCTGGAGAGATGTATGGGAAGACTTAGATGAACTGATGCAAAGTGAAGCAAGCAGGACCAGGAAGACAATATTCATGTGACTGGCACAATATAAATGAAGCAACGACAAAGACCCACGAAACTCAATGAGTGTAATTATAATGACCAAGCTTGGTCCTGAGCTGCTTCTGGGAAAACAGGAAGCACCTGCTTCTGAGCAGTGAGAACTTCTTCTAGATGGGTCTAAGCAGTGTTTCCTTCATGCAGATAACTGGGACCACTTGGCTTTCAGCATCTTGCTGAGTAGCTGAAATTTAGCCCTGATTTGTAACTATTACTTATCTACTATAGGAACCACAAGCCCATCAAACTTCTCTCTATTTGAGTATATTATAACTGTGAATGTCTTGCTGAGAAAGTGAGAACTCTAAGAGAGACAAAGAAAAGGTAGGAAGGGGAACTTATCTAGGAGAAAGGTGGTGCATTTGGTTCTGGACATGTTAAATTAAATGGTTTGGTCCATTTGACTTGGTCCAGACCTATTACTTCCTCAGAGTGGGACTCCCAGGGTGCAAATTCCTTCCACGGATGCAGGTTAACAACTCATCTGTATCTTAAATTCCTAGAGAGTTGCTGAGGCGCTGAGAAGACATAACTTGTCCATAGTTACACAGCTATCATGTATTAAAGACAAGACTGAACCCAAGGTTGATTCCAAGACCAGCCTGTAACTACTGTGCCACACTGCCTCTCATCATGTTCAAAAACAAAGAAAAAAACATTAAGAACCTTATAACAACTGGGTTTTTTTTTCAACACAACATTAATCTCCAAAAATTCAGACAAAAAATTCAGTTAAAAACCCATGTCGATGCAATTTCTCTCCTTCGCCTCACTTCAAACCTTAAAAAAAGAAAACAAAAGAAAATTTACTTCTTAAGTGGCTTTACCTATTTTTTTGCCTAATGTTGCTGTTTCATGATGGGATATTTGTGGAGAGTTTAGAATTAAAGACCCCTTGGTGTCCCTAGGCAACTCTCTAGAACTTTCAGTTACAATTGAGTAGCCAATCAGCATCCTTGGAGTTTCCATCCTAGGAATCCTAAAGTGCAGGTCTAACCATGACACTCCCCTATTCAATCAACTCTCGCAGCTCCCTATTACCTCCAAGATCAAAGATAAAATTGGCATTCAAAGACCTTCACAATCTGGCCACTTCCTACCTAATGGTTTCCTATACCTTATTCCCCTCCACTGTCACATGGGCCATCTTCTCCCCCTCACTCCCACATCATTCCCAATTAGTTTTGGAAGTGGCAAAAGAGACACCAAACAGCAGTCAGTGGCTTCAGCAGTGCCAATAGTGGTTCCAGGGATTTCTGGGGCATCAATTAATGCTGTGAATCCACAAAAACTACCCTTGCATTGAATCAACAGAGGGAATGAAGTGTAGGATGACATATTTGGCATCTTCCATATTCCTAAATCCCTAAGTTGAGGATTCACTGGCTGGCTAAGATGAATTGTCAATTAACATCAGGACAGGCAACATGCTAAAACCACCAATTAAAACACCGACTTTTGCCTCTTTTTGTATCTCCAGTGCTTAGCACTAGGCCTGGAATATAGTCAGTGCTTAATAAACATTTGTTTACTGATTACAAGATTGCTAACTGACTGCTCAACCAAGTAATGACATTTAGAGAAAGAAGGAGCAGGAATGACCTCTTCTCCTCATGTTTTAAATGCATCTGATAAATATTTCTGAGAGTCCCATTAGCATGTGGTGCCCAGAAAAAAATCTCTCCAAAATACAGCTGTGATCTTTATTAGCTGCCTATTGCCTACCAGTCTAAACTCCTTAGCAGGGCCTCCAGAAACCTCCATGAGTCCCCTCTACCTTTTCTAACCAGTAATGTTATTGTCTGTAAGAAACATCGAGCCAGCTTTCCTCTTCCTTGACTTTCATTTTAAATGCCAAAGGCCCTCTGAACGAATCAGAGCTCAGCACCACCAAGCCTCTATCTACATTAGAATAGGTAGACATGATCCCTAATGACCAAGAGCAGTTAACTTACCAGGTGATAAGAGCATAATTCACACCCAGGATGAAATAAGTGAATGCATAATGCCAGCAAAAGCACACGGTCAGAAACAGCATGTTGCTGTGATCCGACTGGTTCCATTCAGGGCTTCCATCAGGGGGATACAATACAAAGCCGATCTGTAATAGAAAGCAATAATCATCATTGAAGCCATCAGATACATCATAAAGATGGTGAATTTTTAAGTGTGGTTTCAGGCTTAATGGCAAGCCATGCACCCAGGACCCTGACTGCCATGAAAATGGGCCTTTTATTCTTTCCAGTGATGTGGCCCCTGGTTGCCTAAAGCACATAAAGGCCAGGTGAAAGGGCCCACCATGTCACCTCTCAGATGTCCTAGGATTTACAGCTGGAAGGCAGAAGAGATCATCTGAAAATTTCTCTTGACAGATGAGGAAACTAAGGCTCATAAAGCCTGCTGGTCAGTAAATGAGCATTTTTATTTTAAATTTTGAGTTCCACATTCTCTTCTTCCCTCCAGCTCCTCCCCAACACATCGAGAAGGCAAGAAATGCAATACCCATTCTACGTGTGGAGCGATAGGAAACATATTTCCATATTAGCCATGTCGCCAAAAAAAAAGGGGGGGCCAAAAAAGTAAAGAAAAAGTATGCTTCAGTCTGTACTCTGAGCCCATCAGTTCTCTTTCTAGAGATGGATAGCATTCTTCATCGTGAATCTGTTGGAATTTCCTTGGTTCACTGTATTGATCGCAGTAGCTAAGGCTTTCACAGTTGATTCTCATTATAATATTGCTTCAATAAGCACTTATTAATCTCACACACTGTATACCAGGCACTGCGCTAAGTGCTGGGGATACAAAGAAAAGCAAAAGCACTGGCCCTGCCCTCAAGAAGTTTACTTCAACAACACAAGATGCCTACAGTGAAAGTGGAAGGCGCTGGGGTGAGGGGAGGAGGAGGGCTAAGAAAGGGCTCTAGAGGAGGACGGGATCTGAGATAAGTCTTAAGGAAGCTAGGGAAACATGGAGGTAGGGGTCAGGAGGGAGAGCCCTCCAGGCATGGAGTCAGGCCAGGAAAGTAAGCTGGATGGTACAGTGTCTGTGGAAAGCAGTGAAGTATAAGAATGGAAAAAAAGTAGGAAGCAGTTAGATTGCGAAGGACTTTGAATGCCAAATGGAGGACTTGGTATTTTATCCTGGAGATATTAGGGAGCTGGTGGAGTTGATTTAGTAGGGGGCAACATAGTCGGGGGCAGCTAGTGGATAGTGCACTGGAGTCAGGAAGACCTGAATTCAAATCCAGCCTCCGATCCTTCCTAGCTGTGTGACCCTGGGCAAGTCACTTAACCCCAATTACCTTGAATATATATATATGAAACAATTATATATATAATTGTTATACTAAATTCTATTTAAAAATTTAAAATATTATAATAAAATTACAGTAATTAATATAATAAAGGCCTATTGGTTAATGTATTACTGGCTTATATGGATCTCTGTGAAAGCCTCCTGAGGAAGCTGGGACAGGAATAATGGAGGAAGAAGAATCAAGGACGACTCCAAAGTTCAAGCCTGTCCTTGACAAATAACAGGAAATTAGCAAGGTGAGCTAACTGATGGAAGAAATAAATTCATTTTTAGACAGTGTGGTACAAAGAGCCATGACAGAGTGAAAGAACACTCACCCTGGAGTCAGAGGACTCGGGTTCAAATCTCATCCCTGATACTACCTGTGTGACCTTGTATAAGTCACTTAACTTCCCTAGACCTCAGTTTCCTTGTCTCTAAAATGAAGGGAGAATCCAGACAGTCTCTGAGGTTTCTTCCAGCTCCAGATCCATACTCCCAGGCTCCTAACTTGAGTCTGGCTTGAAAGAGGGACAAATCAAAGGGAGACAGCCTATCAAGAGCTGAAAATGCAAGGCCAGCCTAGAGCCTGGAAGAGAGGCAGGCATGGCCCTGGGAATCTGGGGTTCTGCCCGCACAGAAATGACAAGCCTAGAGCACAGGAGAGGTTTCCAATGCAGAGAGAGAAGAGCCAAAACCTTAACTCCTAAGGAGGAAGCCTCAGCACCGGTGACCATCCTCAACAAAAAGAAGGGGTTGAGCTGGACAACTAAAAATAAACAGCCGCAGAAAAGTGGAAAACTACAATTGTCTTGATATTTCATGAACAAATGACCCAGAGCATATGATCAAGTCTTCTTAGCTCTTCTACCCCCTTTTTCCTTTTTCTTCCTTTAATTTTAAAAAATCTTTATCAATTTTTATATCGCCTTTTATTTATTTATTTTAATTTGGTCTATTTATTTTTTTTTATTCTAATATGCCCCTCCACCCTCCTAGACCCAGAGATCCCATGTCATGAGGAATAAAATAACAAAGAGGAAAAGAACAGTTCAGGAAAACCAGCCCTGAGTTGTTAGACCAAGTATAACAGCAGACGCAGTATTCCTTACCCATAGCCACCCGCCTCTGCCAAGAAGGACGGGAGGTGCTTTTCTTTCTCAGCTCTTCTCTATGACTAAACTTCTCAGTCATTATAATTGTGTAGCATTAAACTGAGTTTTGTTGTCATTCTTTCCATTTACATTGCTCTTGTCACTGCATTCATTATTTTCCTGGCTATGCTTACTTCACCTACCATCAATCAATTCATTCAGCTGTCCTCGAAGAATTCTAACTAAGCTGGTTAAGTCAGGGTAAAGTGTGCTCTCACTTGCATTACCTAAATGGTTTTCTCAGTTGGTGGCTTAGCTGAAGACATGGCCCTCCAAAGAGTTCATAACTATAGGTAGAGAGAAAAAAAGACCTCGGTCTCAAAAATCGTTTCTATGTGGCAGTTCTGAGAGAGTAATTACTATGGCCAACACGTGGCCCTCTGAGCTGCATCATGGCCCAATTCACTGAATTCATATAGACATAGTTATGGCTTTCTTCCTACCAGAAACTCCTTACAAAGTGCAAAGAAGAAGGCTGAGACTATAACAACAACTAATTTATATGGTTCTTCAACATTTAAAGAAAAATCACATTCCTTAAAACCCCGTAAGGTAGGTAGAATGAGCAGTTTTAGTCATTTTAGTAACATTTAGTCATTTTAGAAGCAGAGGCTCAGAAAGATGAATTAACTTGCCCTGGGCCATATAGCTAGCAAGTGCTGAAATATGAACCCAGATCTTTTAAAACCACATCCAATATTCTTTCTATCACACCATAACTCTTATTTTTGTTTGTGTCTCTGTGTCACCAACAACCCATCACTTCAGCGAGTAGGGGAGACAAACCAAAATTAACAACAACAAACCTCAACCATGTAGTTATTTGGGGTCATGAAGATAAAATAACCAGCAAATTATCTGAGTTTTTCATTTGTCAGTTAGTAATAGAGAAACCACATTTTTTTAAAGGGATAAAATATCAGAAATGCCAAATTTCCCAGTTTTACAGAGGGCATTATGACCACTGACTCTAGCTATGTCTCTCACCAGGAAGGAAAAGACCTCTGTGTCAGAGGCTGGGAGTTAACAGAGAGACCTAAGGGCCTCACCTTTCTAATCCCAATTAGTGAGAGATGACAACAGAAGTAATGACATTGAGTGATGGAGTGATCTAGTTCTTAAGCATCTAAGGCAGAGAAATGGGGGCCTCCCCCAGAACTAAGGCTCAGTTCTGATCAGGTGGGGCATCAACCTATACCACCAAGCAGGATTGCTGTAAGGCTTCAACCCCATGACCCAGCACACCCATCTTAATGATGCAAGTCTCTTAATAACAGGAAATTGCATAAGGCAAATGACTTTGCTTCCCATGACTCCACATAAGGAGCTGAGAAATCTGGGTACAAGGCCTGAAGAGAGGCCCCTGCTACCCAAGAGCTACCAAGTGCTCTTTCTTTTAAAAGGGTCAGTAGATGCTGGGCAATGGCTGAATGATATTCTGCTATAAGAAATGAAGACGAAGATGGTTTCAGAGAAACCTGGGCAGACTTGCAAGAACTGATGCAGAGTAAAGGGAAGAGATCAGGGAGAACAATGTATACTATAACATCAATATTGTAAAAATTAATAATTCTGAAAGACTTGAGAATGCTGATCAACACAAGGATCACCCATGATTTCAGAGGACAGATGATGAACACAGCTTCATGACAGAGAGACGATGGACTAATAAGCAGAATGAGAAACACATTTTTGAATGTGACTAGTGGGAATTTGTTTTGCCTGACTACACCTGTATGATACACAGGTTGTGTATTCCTTTTCCTTTCTTTCCTGTTTTTTTTTTTATTCATTGGTTAGGGGGAAGATGAAAGGGAGAGAAACAAAGGCTTGATAATTGAAAACATTTTAAAAAGAAAAGTCAACAAATGGACAATAATCTACTTAGCATCTCCCATCTCAAAAGCACCAACTGTTTGGCCTTTGGTATCTGGAAAATGAGAATCTGCCTCATATGATCTTCCATAAAAGAAGAAAGAGGAAAGATGACTACAAGAAAAGATGTGATGTAGCATCTCGGGTTTGTGCTGGAAAGGAAATCAGATCGACGCCAGCCTGCCACCAACAAATATTCTTCCCCAAACCTATCCTTTCAATATAGCATTTGATAGGAACCTATTGGAGTATTGGTGGGTGATGGATATGGTCAAATGGTGGGAAGAAGAAAAGGGGAGGAAGAGCTCATAGAAGATCTCTACCTCCTGTCAACACCTTCCCCCAATCTCCACCCCCCCCAAAAAAATACCTCTGCCCAGAGGCCCAGTATCCTTATTCATAAGTCCTTTTGTGGTCCCATGTATTTTACTTTATGCATTTTAAAACATTATTGTGAAGAAAGGGTCACTGGCACTACCAGACCTTCAAAGCAGGAGATAGGGAAGGAGCAAGGCAGGGAATCAGGACACAGAAAAAAAGTTAAGAACACCTGGCTTAGATAGTCTCTAAATTTCTGATCCTAGGTGTGTGTGTGAGTATACCATTGTCTGTGAAGACTACATTAAGTACCACCATGAACTCCCTGGACACTGAGGAAACTCTGCAAAAGGAACTCTGGAAAGCAGAGATACTAAGGCATTCACATACTAAAGACAAAGCTTCTGGCATGGAATATTCATGTACCCCAAGAGGAAACGTACCAATTAAGCAGCAACAAATTCTCAGGTACTGAACATTTTTCTCACAGGTGGCTTTTGGGAAAAGCCGCAGCTGAGGCTTTCATTTCCTGACAATGTGCAGGCTTCCTTTGGTCCTAGATGTCAGTGGATTGGTTTTGGTTTTTCTTTTTTTTTTTTTTAAGGCCTCAAATATTTCAAAGTTATTATTTGATCTGGCCACCAAGTTAAAAAGGAAACCAGTCTAGACATTTGTGGAGGAAAAGAAAATATTAAAAGTGTTACAGCATTATTGCTTGAGAACATTAACCTCAGATTTCCTCTTCAGTCCAAGAGCAGAGTTTCTGGAAACACAGACTCGACAAATGCAATCTTAATGTATTCTCCTTAAGGGCAGGAGCTTTTTCATTTTCATCTTTGTAATTCCAGTTTGGCACCTGGATGGCACCTTGATGTTCACTGAATTAAATTAAATGCATCCTTTGCACACCAAAGGATGATATGATTTACCAGTTCTTTTCTAAGTCTGTTGATGGAGTCTTGTAAATGCTTCCTTCCAATGGCCATACTGGCACAAAGCTACAATAAAAACTCTAAAAAGACTCTCTTCTCCTTTCTCTTTACTTTAAAGACGACCAGAAGCTCAAAGATACGGAACTATAGGAGGCAAAGTCATTACAATCAAGAATAAGGTAAGGATTAGCAAGTGCCTTTTTGTCCCTGCGCCAGTCTATGGAGCTCAAATGACATGCTCACTGTAAGAAAGCAGAATACAAGTTTCTTCTTTTTTTTTTTCTTTAGGAAAACACAGCTGAACTGTATCCTTCCTGGCAAGGGAAATACCACAGACACAAATTCGTTCTCCTAAAGTCAACTCTCAAACATTCATGAGTAGATTAATAATAGCTAGCATTTATATAGCATTTTAAGATTTATAAAAACTGTTTCTACTATACTCTGCTGCCCTAACTCACGAACAGGTCTTATTCCAAAAGACCATTTCAAATGTATCTGTTTGAAATGCAATATATCCAGGAAAGAATTAGAACTTGGTTTTATTTTTATAATATAGGGAAAACTGGAGAAATGGAGGATGGGGAAAGAAATGCCAGGTCTGGCGTTATCCCGAAGAAGCATATCGATCAATTAGCAAGCGTTAAGAGAGTATAATAAGAATAAAGCAAGCATAACAAGTAACACAGGTACTGTGCCAGGGGCTGAAATTGCTTTAAAAAAAAAAAAGGAACCATCCCTGCCAAGGAACCAGTACTGTAATGGAGATTGTCTATATTCTTACTGCTGAAGAAAACGAGATACTCTGTATAATCCATACATGGGAAGGGAAAGGGTAGACCTGTGGCTTCATTGGCATAGGGAACTCTGGATGAGCAAATTCACTCTACCAATATAGAACTACACCTGCTGTTATTTATAGTCAACAAACTTTTCTACTTCATGCCTGAGAGGGGCCAGTGCCACAAGACACTTTTGGATTGGGTAGAGCAACAGTTTCTCCTCCCTTCTGTCTCCAAAGGGACAGTGTTTATATTCGTTTTGGCAGGAAGAGGAGACTGTGGCTCAATAAAAATATTTGCTTTTAAAGTTAATAAAAATCACTGAAAGGAATGGGGAATATCATAAGGGAAGGGAATACATGCAAAATAGGCCTGAACAAATTTCCCATTGCTTCCAAAGTCAAATTACTTTTTACTAATAATAAACATCAAAAGGACTCAATCTGATTTTGTTGATGAGCAGAAACCTTAAATTTGCCCAATATATCTCTTTTATAAACTAAATCACTTGGTTGATACAATATTTGTTCATATAATACCCCATTTCTAAATTTCCTGTACTTAGTTCCCTGGCAGTCAAAGACACACTGCCAAAAGTCCTATTAAGCTGAAAAAAATTCATCAACACTCAATTATTTGAGGGAGGGGAGGGGATAAGCATTTATTAAGCACCTACTATGTGCCAGGTGCTATGCTAAACACTTAACAAGTACTATCTCATTTGACCCTTACAGCAACCCTTAGAGGTAGATGCTATTATTATTCCCACAATAATGAGAATTATCATCATCATCATTATTATAGCTAACATTTATGTAATGCTTACTATGTACCAGGCCCTATGGTAAGTGCTATATAATTATTATCTCCTTTGATCCTCACACCAACCCTGGCAGGTAGGTGCTATTACGATCCCCACTTTACGGTTGAGGAAACTGAGGTGATTTACTTGCCCAAAGTCACACAGCAAGTAAGGGTCTGAGGCTAGATTTGAATTCAGGTCTTCCTGAGCCCTGCTGCTGTATCCACTACACTACCTAGCTAGGACACCACTCCATCATTCCTGCCTTCTTCTTGTCCTTTTCTCCCTAATTTCCTTCAAAGCTCAGCTCCATTGCCACCTTCCACACTCAAAAAAATTATCTTGTATTTCGCATATAATGTATATGTAATCATACATGTACATTTCTCCACTGAGAAGAATGTAAACCCCTTGAGGGCAGAGGTGGTTTTGCTGTTTTTACTTAATAAATGCTTGCTACCGACAGACTTGAATGACTGATTTCTTTCTTCAGAATGGCTCCAGGTCTGATATTTCTCTCACCAGTCTCCACTTTCTCAGCCTCTCAATCCACGTTCCTTTCTGTCCAAATTGTCATGCCTTCCTTGTTGTCTTAATGATGTCATCCACCTCCTCCCAAAGTCTCCCACAACTGCTTGTTGCTTATGAAATTATTACTTATTATTGCTTGTCACTGATGAAATTGAAACTCCTAACCAAACCATAGTTTTCAGTGAGTTGACTTTCCTCATCATCTTTTTGCCCTTATCAGTGATCACTGCAAACTGAATGTACTCTAGAAATTCTTCCCTAATTAGTCCAGATCCACCTCTTATTTTTCTACTTCCCTGAAATTATGTGTAGGTATTTTAGTCATTAATGTGTTCTTTATTATACATGCATACTCACATCATCTGTAATTTTACCACTGTGTCTACTCACTCTATCCAAACAAATCTCAATTCTGCTCCAACTTAGTAGACTATATTCAAGAGATCCTCTTTGCAGAGGTGAGGGATTCAGGGCACAGAATATTATATATACAATACTATATATAATTGTAAGACTCAATTGATGTGTTGGTTGGTTTTCTGAATTGTTTTAAAAATATTTGTTACAAGAATGTCTTGCTGGATAGCAGAGTGGGGAGGGATAAATTCTGAAATGAAGATGATATAAAAACAACAGAAATCAATAATTTTTTTTTGAAGTTTCTCTAGCTGAAAATTTTGTCACCCTATGGTCAGTCCGGCGAGAAACCTTTTCTGAAATTAGCTAGGCTGGTCTTCAGATTACAGACAGATATTCAATCACCTGGACTCTTTCATCATCTCATGAGCCTGCAAGTTCCTTGAGGACAGGAACTACTTTCTAACTAGAACCCCATAAACCTCCAGGGGTTCCTTCCCGGCCAACTCCTGGCAAAGTTCTCACTGTGGCTTTTCAGTGCATTCAGGATACCCCTTTCCAAATGCAAATGCTGCTTCTGGTAAGTGAAAGCACCAGTGTACCTGCCAAAACCAGCTGCCTTGAAGCAAGACAAAACTGGACCGGAGGAGCTCCAAAACTATGTTGCTCCGGAAGAAGAATTCCATGAATATGCAGATGGCTGCACCAATAACGGACAGGAAAAGCAGCTGATGTATGTATATGTCCAACATTGCTCGGCCATGAATGTGGAAGTAGAAGATAAAACCTGATGGACGAAAGAAAGATGTTTTTTACTTAAATTGAAGCCAAAGCTGATCTTGGTGCTTTACCACTAAGGGGGTGTGTGTGCGTGTGTGTGTGACAGACAGAGAGACACAGAAAGACAGAGACCAACAGAGAGAGAAAGAGAGACAGAAAGACAGTGTGAGCTTACCTCACAGGGTTGTTGTGAGTTAATCAAGTGTGTGTAAAGTACTTTGCAGACCTCAAAGAGCTTCATAAATGCTACTTGCTACTACCATCATTATTATTCTTGCCATTATTATGTCTATCTGTCTGTCTGTCTCTCTCTCATACACACATACACACATAAACACACACACACACACACACATACACACATACACACATACACACACACCCCACCTCATACAAATGCATACACATTTACAGACTTGGATATTGTCAGATGGCATGAACAGCATACCCCTGAAATGTATTACACTTGAGCTAGGGCTTTCCAGGGCTTATCCCTAAGTATTTCAAAGGCTTAACTTCCCACAGGAACCATCCAACCTTGGTGTGTTATATTTCCAGTCTATTACCACACCCATTCATTCTGGATGTTTCAAAATCTAACAGTGCTCTCCTTTTCATCTTTTTTCTACCTTGACTCATTAAGAAATTGTCAGTTGGCCACACTTTAATTTCACATGATGCTGACTCTGACTCCTTATACTTAAAAAAAATCCCACCTAGAAAAGAAAATTCTTCAAGGCTTAGTAGTCTAGCAAAAAGGACTGATCCCCTGATATCTGGAGAATAGAATTAAGGAGTGAGGTAGAATGGGGCAAATTATCTCACATAAAACAGATAAGAAAAAGCTTTTACAGTGGAGGGGAAACAGGGTAAGGTGAGAGAGAATGAGTGAATCTTACTCTCATCAGATTTGGCTTAAGGAGGGAATACCATACACATTCAATTGGGTATGGAAATCTATCTTACCCAACAGGAAAATGGGGGGGGAGGGGACAAGAGAGCAGGAAGATGATAGAGGGGAGGGCAGGTTGGGGGAGGGAGTAATCAGAAGCAAACACTTCTAAGGAGGGACAGGGTTAAAAGAGAGACTAGAATAAATGGGAGATGGGATAGGATTAAGGGAAATATAGTTAGTTTTCCACAGCATGACTACTATGGAAGTGTTTTGCATGACTATGTGTGTATAGCCTGTATCGAGTTGCTTTCCTTTTCAATGAGGGTAGGTGGAGAAATTTTGGAACCCAAAGTTTTAAAAACCAATGTTAAAAAAAATTGTTTTCACATGCAACTGGGAAATAAGATATACAGACCATGGGGTATAGAAATCTATCCTGCCCTATAGGAAAATTGAAGGGGAAGGGAATAAGAGAAGGGGGGGGAGAGATAGAAGGGAGGGCAGATTAGGGGGAAGGGGTATTCAGAATGCATGCCATCTTAGGGTGTGGGGGGATGAGATGGGGTGAAAATTCGGAACCCAAAATCTTGTGGAAGTGAATGTTGAAAACTAAAAACAAATAAATTAAAAGTCAAAAATTGAATCAAATCAAATCAAATCTCTGGTCTTCTGACAAAAAAAAAAAAAAGACTGGTCCGCACACTAGTAAGAGGTCCTTTCTAGCTCTGAAGCTGTGAACAGTAACTATTGATTAACTATTTTTCATCTTCGTGTTCACCTCCAAAAATGGATATAATAGTAATATCAGGGCAAAACCAAAGTGATATAGTTAGCAAACAAGCCACCTGTACATGAAGAGGATTGTGCTTGGTGACTAGGAAGATTAAAAAATATATGTGTATATGTATATGTATATATGTGTATATGTGTGTGTGTGTGTGTGTGTGTGTGTGTATAAAACTGGGTCCCTGTGTTCCAGACAAATCAATTCCAGGTGCTTCTCAAAAAGATGGAAAATGTAAAAAAGGCATGTGGGGAACTACTGAGTTTTTATGGTTCTACTAAAGGCTAAAACATTTCAATACTTTAATGACCACAATTTCCTCCTTAGTGGAGGTGCTCCCTCTCTCAGTGTTTCTTGTGCTGCTGTGCCCACAAAAGTTTATCACTTGGTCACTAACCTTCTGGTGATGAGTTTCTCAGAACTCAGGGGAGGTGACCTTCAGACAATAGCCCTTTACAAAACTAAACCCATTTCAGTACACAGTTTTTCATCTTCACTGGCTAAACCTTTAAGAAACCAGTCAATCTCCTTACCTTAATATGGCAGCAGGGCAATGGATATACAAGGCTGCTACAGAAAGGGCATAACACTAATACTCTAGCTTAATAGGCATTAAAACTTTGCCCCCACAGCGAAAAGTAAAATGGTAGGGGGGATAAGTGGATCGTCCAATCTTTCCGGAAAAAGAATTGGAATTATGAGAGAAAAATCACTCCATTGTCCATACCTTCGATGACCTCACTGTTAGGCATATATCTCAAGGAGGAGGAGGAGAAGGAAAGGTCCTATGTGCACAAAAATATTCCCAGTGATGTGTTTTGTTTTGTTTTGTTTTTTGAGGTACCCAAAATTAGAAATAATGTGGGTTTGTGTCAATGAGGGAATGACAAAAAAAATTTAAAGGGAATACTCTTGTACCATAGGTGATAATGAATTGAGGGGAACCTGGAAGGCTTGCATGAATCTGGAAGGTGGCATGGTTTAGTGAAAAGACTACTTGCTCTGGAGCTGGTCAGGAAGTGGGTTCAAAACCCACCTCTAGGAGCTGCTATGTGGCACAGTAGATTGAGCACCGAACCTGGAGTCAGGAAGACCTGAGTTCAAATCCAGTCTCAGATCAGACACTTGATACTTACTAGCTATATGACCCTGGGCAAGTCACTTAACCCCAATTGCCTCATATTCAAAAAAAAAACCCACCTCAAAAATAACTTGTCTGGCCTTGGGCAAGTCGCTTAACATCCTTAGACTTCAGCATCTTACAAAAAAGGAGGACTGGAATAAATAGCCTCTGAGGTCCCTTCCAGCTCTAAATCTATAATCCTATGAATTGATCTGGGGCAAAGCAATCTATCAATAAACATTTATTAAACTCCTACTATATGCCTGGCACCGTGCTAAGCACTGGGGATACAAAATATATATATATATATATATATATATATACACACATACACACACACATATACACACACACATACACACATACATATACACACATACATATATATACACACATACATACATACGTACATATATATATACACGCATACATACATACGTACACATATATACATGAAAGTCCCTGCCCTGAAGGAGCTTACATTTTAATGAGGGAGACAACATGCAAACAAATATTTACAAAGCAAGCTAAATCCAGGAAAAATGTTGTTGTTGTTCAGCCATATCAATCACATCCAACTCTTTGTGATCTCATTTGGGGTTTTCTTTGCAAAAAATACTAAAGAGGTTTGCCATTTTCTTCTTTAGATTATCTTGCAGATGAGGAACTGAGATAAACAAGGTTAAATGACTTGCCCAGGGTCACACAGCTTAGTAAGTGTCTGAGGCTGGATTTGAACTCACAAAGATGAGTCTTCCTAACTCCAGGCCTATTACTCTAGCCACTATGCCACCTAGTTGCTGAAAATAAATAGGAAATAATTAAACATAAGGTAAGCACTAGAATTAAAAGGGATTGGAAAAGGTTTCCTATAGAAAGTGGGAAGCCTGGAAAGCCAGTAGACAGAGATGAGGAAGAAGAACATTCCAGGCATGGGGGACAGCCAGACAGAATGCCTGGAGCTGAGAGAGGGAGCGTCCTGTTCATGGAACAGCCAGGATGATGGTGTCACTAGGTCAAAGAGTATATGATAGGGAGTATAGTGTAGGAAGACTGGAAATGTAGGAGGGGGTTAGGTTATGAAGGGACTTGAATGCCAAACGGAGTAGGTCCAGAAGAATAATACATACAACGACAATAACATAAATGAAAACAACAATGAAAATTCAGCCAAATGCTGATTAATTACAATATCCCAATACTGGTCTAGGATAACAGATGATAAAAACATTGTCCTCCTCTTGTAGAAAGATGGAGGTCTATGGGTACAGAATGGTTCCCATGTCATAACATGTGGTTACTGGGTTGACTGGTTTAGCTTAGCTATCATTGTTACAAAGAAGGGTGGAAACCACACTCCTATTGCACACACAGCATTCCATTACTATCTCCATGTTTTTGTTCAGGCTGCCTACCCACCCACCCCCACCCCCCAAGCTTCCCTCCTTACCTGGCCTTCTGAGAAGCCCTAACTCCCAGCAAAGCTCAGCTCAAGGGCTGCCTACTGTGGGTGTTTCCTGATTTCCTCCTCCAGCTACACACCTCCTCCTCCTCCTCCTCACCTGAAATGTATTCAGTGCGGAGACATTTTCTATTGGCTTATATGTGTGCATGCTGTTTCACCCTGACATAACAGAAGCTCTTCCAAGGCTGGAAAAGTTTGATTTTTATCTTTTTTCTCCAGCACAAAGTGGATGTTAAATAGATACTGACTAGTCGATGACTAGTGTGCCTACTGGGACATAACTAGTGCAAAAAGGCAGCATTAGAGCTTCAAAAAAATCAAAAAATGAAAAAGAAGCAATAGCAATGGAAAGAAGGCTAAATATGGAGACTGGGATTCAAATCATGGCTTCATTATGTCCTACCTAGGTGCCCTTGGACAAGTAAGTTAACCTCTGGCCCATAGTTTTCTCACAAGTAAAAAGAGGAAGTTACACCAAAATATGGTCCCTTTCCAGCTCTAAATGTGGGACTGGATAATGCTACCCTGTCTCATAGGACTGCACTGAGAAATCCACCATAACTCTCCTGGAGGGTGAAGTATTTCCTCATCTGTAAGATTAAGAAACTGGACTAAATGGCTTCTGAAAGGCTTCCAACTTTAATGTATGATTGTATTATGCGTGTGTGTATATACACACATAAACATATGTGTGTATATATACATGCATATATATACATATATAATTCCTAATAATGAGTGGTGGATGAAGGAAAGTACCCACTCAGGCTTACCTTCCACAAAAAAGGCATTTGAGAGCATCATCTTGCTTAAGGAAACTGGCAGTGCATGGGTGGTGAAGCACAAGATGTCGACCAATCCAGAGAGTCCGAAGAAGAAATACATGGTCGAGTGCTGCCAGCTCATGAGGTCAGTCCAGTGTTTCTCCTCATAGTTGTATAAGATCAGGTGAGGTCCACCAGGAACAAACTGTTCTGCTGTCATGCCTACATAGAAGCAAATAAACCAACAAAAATTAGAGGCCCTTTCTACAACCTCACCGATAAGAAGAAGATACCCTTAAATCCCACACCTCTTCTCTATCAGATCAGTCCTTCAGGATGGGCAAGGCAGCAGTTCTTCACTGGTGTCTCCCCTTCTAGGTATCTCATTGTCATGCAAGGGAAGTGATGGGAAAGGCTTTTAGACTGATAAAGAGAATGTACCTTGCTGACTCTGGTCTCTCTAGGCCTCAGTTTCCTCATCTTTACAGGGCTGAACTACAGGAGATTCCCTCCCAGATTCCCTCCCACTTAAGTCACAACACTTCCAGAGTACTACCCAAACCAAATTAAAATGTAAGCGGGAAATATTTAACAAAATAAATAAAAGTACAACAGAATATAGATAGCGTTAATATGTGGTTTTCTAAGTCGATGTGTGACCCGCAGGATCCTTAGAACAGTTGTGTCCCCCATTTCTATTTGAGTTTGATACTACTGGACTAGAGGATTACTAAGATCTCTTCCAGATTTAAGATGCTGTGGTTCTAAACCTTAAGGCAGTGGGGTACAATAGAAAAAGTAATGGTAATAAGTAGAGGAGCTGGGACTCAAACCAATGTACTCCATGAAGTTATTATTAAGTTGGGTTCTGCAATTGTAGAAGGAATTCCTACATGGATGAAATCACAGCTGTTTTAGGAATTTGCACATATAAATGTCAGTCATTATAGTAAAATCATAGGACCATAGATTTAGAAATGAAAGGAACCCGAGAGGTCAACTAATCATAATGGGGTGTTGGCCATGTCTAAATAAGTTTGGTTCTGCCAGATCAGTCCTGTCAAGGTTGATGTTGTCTTCCTGGGCACTTTGCTTTAAGGTAACTTCTCCTACAGGAAAGGGGAGGGAAAGGTGAAGCCAGGTTATAGTTGCATGGGTCGGACAACTTGTTTTCTTCAGGTATGGACAGCTATGGAAGAACAGCAGTGACTCAACCAATTATATGAACGCAAATAGGAGTTGGTTTTCTCCCAGATCAGAACTCAGGAATGCCTTATCTTTTTTGGAAAAAATCCTTTTTTATTATTATGAATTTGACCAATAACAACAAATATAAATAGTTATCTATACAGAAGAAAAAAGAAAAGAAAGTCATGCATTTCCATTATGGACACGTAGGTCTTTACGGTAGATTTCAAATTTAACATAGTTCAAACATGGCCCAGTGTCCCCATCTGAACTTTCTTCGGCTTTCTTTTGTTCATTTTTTAAATGATTCATTCAGTCTTTCTTTTCTTCCTTTTTTTTATTAGCATTATTGTCATTGACCCTCACTGAATCCCAACTCTTTCCCACAAAAAGTCTCTCTTTACAACAAATAAGGATAGTCACAGAAAACTATACATTAGCCACATATGAAAATGTCTTTTTTTGTTGTTAAATTTTTTTCATTTATCAAGCACTTATTTTTTCTTCCACCCATCCTATCTTCTATATCCTTCATTTGCTCATGAATTCTTCCCCTACTCATAGATACAAAAAGTAGTTCGTGTTTTTTTTCCCCTTGTTCTTCTAATTTATTCAGGATGTGATCTTTATATCTAGGTCATATATCTATTTGGAGTTTATCTTGGTATATTGTGTGAAATGTTAGTTTAAAACTAATTTCTGCCAGACCACTGGCAGAAGGACTACCTTCCAATAGTTTTAGTCAAACTGTATACATACCCCAGTAGCTTGTTTCTTTGGGTTTACTGAACACTAGGCCAATAGGTTTTGTTTGCTTCAGTATACAGTGTCCCTAATCCATTCCTCTGACAAAGAGCTCTATTTTTTTTGGGGGGGGTGTTGAGGCAATTGGGGTTAAGTGACTTGCCCAGGGTCACACAGCTAGTAAGTGTCGAGTGTCTGAGGCCAGATTTGAAAAGGGCTCTATTTTCTAAGCAAAACCAAATGGTTGCAGTGGTCAGTCATCAAATAACAAGCTCATAATTTGAAATCTGGTTCTGATTTGAAATCTCCCTTCCTTCTCACATTTTTTCATTATTCCCCTGAAGATTCTTGATCTTTTGTTTCTCCAAATGAATACATTTCCTCATAACTCTTTCCAAAGTAACCCTTTGGTAGTTTGATGTGGCAATGAATCTGTAATTAATTTAGGTACTATTGTCATTTTTATTATATTGACACACTCGCAACTATAGGGAGAAATTAATATCTCTCTAATTATTTAGGTCTGTATTTCTGTAAAAAGGGTTTTATAGCTGTATTCATATAATTCCTGTAGGAGTCTTTGTAGCTGGACTCAAAGATATTTTATACATTATACAGGGTTTTTTCTTTCTCTTCTTTTTGAGTTATGTTGGTAGTATACAAAAAAGTTAATTGGGTTTATTTTATATCCTATACCTAACTAAAAGTATTAATCGTTTCAATTAATTTTAGGTGAATTTCTAGGGTCCTCTAAGAAGGAAGTTATCTATGAAAAGTAATCATGTTGTTTCCTCTTGATCTATTCTTATTATCTCAATTTCTTTTTCTTGACTTATTCATATAGCTAGCATTTTTAGAACCATATCAAATAATAGTGTTAACAATGGACATCCTGGCTTCACTTTGATCTTTGGGAAAGGCCTCTAGTAAAAACTTGGGAAAACTTGTATGAATTGATAGAGTGAAGTGAGCAGAACCAGGAGAACTGTTTATATAATAATAATTGTGAAGTTAAATAAGTTTGAAAGACTTAAGAACTCTGATCAGCACAATGACTAAACAAGCAGTCTGCTAAGAGCCTCCTGACAAAGAGGTGAAGGACTTGGGGTGCCAAATAAGAAATATATCTTTTGGACGTGGTCAAATGTGAGAATTTATTTTGCTTGACTATGCATATCTGTTACAAGGATTTTGTTTTTCTTTTTTTTTTCCAATGGGGGGCAGAGGTGGGAGGTAAAGAAAATAGATTTTGTTCACTGAAAGAAAATATATAATTTAATTTTTTAAATATGTGTTTTAATGTTTCTCTATTACAGATAATGCTAGTTCTTTATTTTAGGTGGATACTATTTACTATATTTTAAAATGTTCATTTTATTTCAATATTTTAATGTGTTTTAAACATAAATGGGTATTGTATTATATCAAAAGCCTTTTCTGAATCTACTGATATAATCATATAATTTTTATTGTTTTGTTATTAATATGGTCTACGATGTTTATAGGGACTTGGATATTAACTGGGTTCATTGATTTCATTGTTGTAGGAAACTTGTGGGTTAGGAAATTGCTTCTATTAGTACAAGTCAAGACCGTTCCTGCGACTTATAATCTTAAAGAATTACTGAGAACAGTAAGGGAGTATATGACTCACCCAAGTCACAAGGCAAGTGTGTATGCGTCACAGGTGGACTCAAATCCAGATTTTTCTGGCTTCAAGGTCAGCTGTCTATCTACTATGCCATCCTGTCTTTCACTTCTATGTTTATAGTTTTTCTAAATAAACCAACTTTGCATTCCTGGCATAAATCCAACTGAGTCATAATGTATAATCTTTTTAATATGTTGTTATGGCCTCTTTGCCAATATTGTATTGAATATTTTTACTTTGATATTCATTAGAGATAGTGATCTATAGTTTTCTTTCTCTGATTTCTCTCTCCTTGGTTTAGGTAGTAAGACCATACTTGTCTTAAAGAGTAAGTTTAACAAGATCTTTTTCCCCCTATTTTTACAAATAATGTATGTAACATTAGAATTATGGTTGATGAATGAATATTTGATAGAATTACCTGTAAATGCACCCAGTCCTAAACTTTTTTCTTTCAGAGTTCTTCCACAGCTTTTTCCATTTTTTTGAGATTTGGTTATTTAAATTTTTATTTCTTATTTTGTTTAGCTGTATATTTTATATTTGTAGATAGGCATCCATTTCATTTATCAATTTTGTTAGCAATTAATTGAGCAAAATAGCTTCTAATGGTTTACTTTCTTTTCATTCATGAATTTACCCTTTTCATTTATGATAATGGCAATTTGGTTTTCCTTTCTTTAAAAAAAAATCAAATTAGCTAATGGTTTAACCTATGTTATTGGTTTGTTTTCCAAAAAATAAGCTCCTGATTTTATCGATCATTTCAATTATTTGGTTTTTGTTTTGTTTTGTTTTGCTTTTTTACGTGACCAAGAAATTAAGATCTTGAGCAATTCACTTCTCTGGGCTTTAGCTTCTTCATCTCCAAACTGAGTAAGCAAAAAAAACCCATTCTGTTCCCTCACAGTGTTGCTGTTATATATCAGAGAGTATGTCAATCAGGGCACAAAGGATTGGAGGAAAAGTGACATGAGCTCTCAAAAAAGGAGTACCTGAGAATTTGCATGTTGGAAATGTCACCCCCTAAACTCATTAGAACTAAATAAGGATTAACAGAAAATGGGTGAAGCTATTCAGCATCAGAAGTCTTCTCCCTACCCTTACACCCAATTGCAATTTTAACACTGTAAGAAGCTCAACCATAACGACAGTACGTCCTCCAATGCAAATTAGCACCTGTTCCTTAACTTATAAGTGGTTTGCCTAGTTTGTAAATGTGTCAATTGTAAGACTGGGGGAAACAAGGGAGGGGTGGGGGTAAAGGATTGGTCTCACAGATCATGAAGGAATGATCTGAACTTTCATACTCAACTATAGTAATTAAAAAGTACAATTTGTCACTCAAGATTTGGTTCAACAATGATAAAAATGAGCAATTAAAAGAAAATGTTAATGCTTTTACCAACAAATTAATTAACTTATTAATTAATTGTTTCCATTCTCTTGAATCCAATCCGGAATCTGGATGCCTAAATGGAAAAAGTGGGAACCTAAGAAATAACCAATTTACCAGTTAAAGACATGGAGATTTTGATCAAGCCCTCAATAATTTCCAAACGTTGAAATCCTGCTCTGGATCCAAGGAAACAGGTCCTCTTGTTCTTTTTGCAGACATACTTCATTATATACTTCACACTCCACCAAAAGCCAAAGAATAAGAAAAAGCTCCCAGGCAGGGCATGACCTCTGAAACTCCCCATTGTTCTCTAGCTCTGCAGAACCTAGAGGGAAAAAGAGAAACAACATCTAAGTCACTTCCGGAAGCATTTCAGATAGCACCCATTACCATAAAAAAGATGAATGAGTTGGATCATGCAACCATGAAGACCCAAGAGTCTTCCGGTCAGAAGAATATTTCTCCACCATCCAACTCTTGTGAGCTATTAGTTGTTGCTGGGATGCTGTTTTTTAAAGTTGTAGGTACACACTTTTATTGATACCTTTTGTGTTTACATCACTCACCATTCAAAGGTAGTGGCACTTAGCACAGTGCCTGGCACACAGTAGATGCTTAATAAATGCTTGTTGACTGAATAAGCCATCTACTCTGAGCAAACCAGAATTCCAAAATGAGTCTTGTAACTTTGTCATGGGAATCTTCTAACTCTTTGACTCAATGTGGAGCTAAACTGGCTGGTCACCCAAGAGGGGAAAAAAAACACCTCACAATTATATGGTACATTACAGCTTATAAAACACTTTGCTCATCACAACCCTACAAGGTAAAATATGATCAAAGAAAAGCAGTGAATTTGAGGTCAGAAGCCACGGGTTCAAATCTTGGCTTTTTTATTTACTATTTAAACCTCACTAGGACCCAATTTCCTCATCTACAACATGAAGAATACAGACTAGATCACAGGTGTCAAATTTGCTGCTGTAGGGAGTCCTATAATACTCCCAGTGTCAAAATGAAATTGGGTAATAAAATAAATAAAAATACAATAAAACAGAGATAATATTAGTATGTGGTTTTCTAAGTCACTATGTGGCACAGCGGATTGAGTGCTATGCCTAAAGTCAGGAAGACTCATCTTTGTGAGTTCAAATCTGGTCTCAGACACTTAGTAGCTGTGTGACCCTGGGCAAATCATTTAACTCTGCTTGCCTCAGTTTCCTTATCTGTAAAATGAACTGGATAAATAGCAAACAACTCGAGTATCTTTACCAAGAAAATCCCAAACTAGGTCACAGAGTCAGACATGGCTGAAATGACTGAACAACAACAAAAAGTCATATGAGGTCCATGGGAAGCCTTATATATGGTTTAGCGGCCCCCCTTTCTACTTGAGTTTGATACCACCAGACTAGGTGACTTTAGATTCCTTACAGCTCTCAAATCCTCTGATACTAAAACCTCTCATAGACATTCCAAACTTAAGAGTTTAATAAGACCTTGAAAAAACTCTTCAAAAGTTTAGTTGTTGTTTCTTGTTTTAGATTAAGACATTGGACATTTAAAGGTAACAAAGATCAATAATAAATTTTCATCATCCTAGTGTAATCAGGAACATATATGGTTTGGTCAATGGAAATGACCTTATAGAAGATATTTTACCACTTCCTTTGCAGAAGAACCACCGGGCCTTCTCATCTGATTTACACCTGAAACTTCCTATGTGTGCTGCTGTTCAGTTGTTTAAGTGGTATCTGACTCTTCATGACTCCATTTTAGGGTTTCTTGGCAAAGATGCTAGAGTGGTTTCCCATTTCCTTCTCCAGCTGATTTAGAGATGAGGAAACTGAGGCAAACAAGGTTAAGTGATTTGCCCAGGGTCACACAGCCAGTAAGCATCTGAGGCCAGATTTGAACTCAGGAAAATGAATCTTCCTGACTCCAGGACAGCACTCTATTCACTATGCCATGTAGCTGCCTAATATGTGTGTTAGTCTCCCATCATTAGGACAAAAGCTCCTGGACCACACACAGTCCTACCCTCCTTTTCTGTTTCTATTTGTGTTCTACTTGTATACCCAGCATGCTTTGCAGAGTGTTCTGCATATACTAGGTGCTTAAAAATTGCTTTTTCATTCATTTATTTAACAATACCTATTAAACACCTATCTACCCTGTGCCAAAAAAAAAAAACAAGATAGCCTTAAAGACAGTCTCTGTTCTCAAAACATTAACAACCTAAAAGAAGATAAGCTAATTGCAGAAATACTATTCTTTAAAGTAGAATGAGAAATGCACATAAGAAATACAAGTTGCTATTATGCATAGGTCTGATCATGTTACTTTCTTTCCTCCTCAAAAATCTTCAGTAACTTCCCATCACCTATCAAATAAAATCCAAATTTCTCAGCTTGACTATGGAGACCTTCTATAATCTGGCTCCAAAATATGTCTCCTGTCTTATTTCACAATATTCCCTTTCGTGTATTCTATTTTAGTATAATAAAGACCATAAAAATGGAGCCAGAAGAAGTTATCTAACCCAATTCCCTCATTTCACAGATGAGTAAACTGGGGTCCAGAAAGGATTATGTGACTTGCCAAAAGTCACAAAGGTTCTAAGTAGCAGAGTCAGGATTCAAACCAGATCATTTGATTCCAAATTCTGGGCTCTTTCCATTGACTTTTCTCTCCAAATTGTACCATCAGCTGCTCTTTTATCTCATTCTGCCCTTTCCTACCTCCTTGCATTTGTGCACGTCGTTTCTCATTCCCGGAATGAACTCTTCCACATCTCTGTTGGATTCATTCTTTTCTTTTCTTTTCCAGCTCTAGTACCATGTTTGTTATAAAGACTTCCTGATCCAACCAGCTGGATACATAATTCCTTCTTCCTCCAATGGAAAATAGGACTCTGTTTGATTTCCCCTATGTCCTTATCACATTCTAACTTGTATCATAATAAATCTGTGTGTATGCCATATCCCCACAATTAAAGTGTAAGTTCTGCAAAGGAAGGGTCATTCTTCATCTTTGTATGCCCAATGCTTTACACCCTAGATTTGGAAAAAAAAATTTATTCTGAACTTAAACACACACACACACACACACACACACACACACACACACAAAAGCATTTCATATATACAGAACACAAAAAAAATTACCTATGAAACTGAGAACCTCCATTTCATACTGCTAATTTTTAAGTATATAACAAATTCCATATGTTATTTTCAAAATTGTCCTGCTTGCCTATGCATCTTTCTGAGCTTCTTTTTGTTCTCTTTTGCTCATTTTTAGAAATATTTCAATGGTCCTCTTTTTTTACATCACTTTTGCTAATCCCCCCATCCCCCGAAACTCTCTAATTAAAAAACAATGAAAAAAAAAACTTGCTTAACAAATATGCATTGCCAAATAAAATTAATCCGAGCAATGGCCATGTCCAAAAATGCAGGTCTCTTTCTGAACTATAAGTCTATCACTTCTCTGTTAGAAAGTAGGTAACAAAATAAATTTTTTTTTCATTAAAAAAAAAGTAGGTAACATATTTCATGGTAGGTCTTCTGGAATACCGGTCAGCCATTGCATTGATCAATTAAGTCTTAAGTCTTCCAGAGCTGTTTTTCATTACAATGTTATCATAAGTATCAATTGTTCTCTGGTTTTGCTCACTTTACTCTGCATCAGTTCATAGTATCCAGGATTCTCTGAAATCATCTCTATCCTCACTTCATATTATACAAGAGCATTCCATTCCATTCATATGCCACAATTTGTTTAGCCTTTCCTCAACTAATGAGTCTCCCTCTATAGATTCCAGTTCTTTGGTTGGGTTTTTTTTTCCCTTTTAATCTCTTATTCAGAAACAGGAATTTGTTTTGCTTCTGACTCTTCTCTCCCCAGTATTATTTTCCCTCTTAACCTCCCCCTTCCCTATTCTACCTGTTTCCCTGTTGAATCTGACATATTTCTACACTAAAATGTGTGTGTGTGTGATCAACACTCCTTTATCCAGTTCAGATAAGAGCGAAGTTCACCTCATGTTCCCTCCCTGTACCATTTCCTAAATATTTGTAAACTTTTCTTGTCACACCCCACAATCATGAGAAATACCAAGTTTCATCTCCTTATTTCTCCTTTCTGTATATATGGGGTTTTTTGCTCTCTCTTCTCTTAAAACCCTTAGAACTGAATGAATCCTCTGTCTTCTCTCTATTTTATTTAACTCCCACCCACACCCTATAAAGACATTAAGGTTCTGAAAAGACACTTGTTTCTTTTCATTGTATTAGAATGTTAGCACAACATTATCATACATCTTCCAAATGATCAAATAAATTTAATAGGTTTTTCTCGACTCTTGAGTTTGCATTTCAAAGTTTCTACTTGGATCTGGTCTTTTCCTCAGAAATGTTTGAATGTTCTCTCACCATTAAAGGTCCACATTTTTTTTCCCTACAGGATTTTACTCAGCTCTGAAGAGCAAATACAATTGTGCTACAAGCCTATATATTTTGTGTTTTGGAGTATTGCTACATCTCTCTTTTTTTTTTTACAATGTTCCATGTTATATGATCTTGGCTAGAGCTCCTTAATATGTGAACTCCTTTCTGAATACTAGCACTATTTTTTCTTTCATATGAGTGGTCTAGATTTTGGCTATGGGGTTCCTGGGACTTTTCTTTTTAAGATTTCTTTCAGGAGATGATCGGTGGGTTCTTTCTGTCTTCACCCTGTCCACTGGTTCTAACAGAGCTGGACAGTTTTCATTTAGAAATTCTTGAAATACAGTATCCAAAATCTTTTTTAAAATTATGGTTTTCAGGGAGTACAATGATTCTTACATAATCTCTCCTTGATATGTTTTCCAGGTCAGTTTTTTAAAATCAGATTATCTTATATTTCCTCCTCTTTTTTTTTCAATTTTTTGATTTTGTTCTAATATTTCTTGCTGTCTCATTGAGTCACTGATTTCTGATTTGTATTTTCTAGCTTTTAGATTCTGTTACTTGAGTAAGGTTTGCTACTTTCTCTTCTAAGCTTTTTATTCTCCTTCCAAGTCTTTTTCTCAATAGCTTTTATTTCATTTTTTTTCCTTTGCTTCTTATCTTCTACATATTCATGTAGTCATTGTATAAAATCCACTTATTTCCTTTGAGTGTCTGCTTGCAGTGGATATAGAATTACTCTCTCCCTCTAGGCTGTTTTTGGGAGGATGTCTAGATCCATAATAATTTATTATACTGACTTGGATCTTCTTTGGCTTACTCATCTCTCTAGTTTTAGTTCCTCAGTTGGAGCTTTGTGCCAGGGCCAGGC